ATAAACAGGTTTCGTAAGGCTTGTTAGAAAATTTGGGTACTTATCCTTTATCTTTGGAAATATACCGATAAACCGATAAACGTTGAGCCATGCCATGCCATGAGAGATTGTGTCAACGAGCTAAGTATATCCTGGCAGAGATATCGTCAGACGCGATCGTTAGCAGAGTTCGTTCTTCGCCGTACCATCGAGTTTCTGGCCCCATTGTCGTGCTCGATACCGTATCGATTCTAAGGAACTCGAGGTAGGGTTGCAAGTAGAAGAAAGAGAACCGATGGAAAAGAGAAAACAAGTGGAAAGGGGAGAAAATGTTGGTGAAAAAAAAAAAAAAATAAAAAAACAGAAAAAAAGAGAAATGGATAGTATAAAAGTACCTGGCCCTCTTCGTTACTCTTATCGGAAACCGGAAGCAGTATCGACAGCCCTGAGGTCACTCAGATCGAAGATTTTTCGATTGTTGCCTCCCACGAATACTCTGACAAAAGAAATCGGAGAAAAGTCGGTCGGGTCGGTCCAAGGGAGAGGAAGAAGGAAGCAGAGACCACCACCTATATCTCGCTAAAGGGTGGCCCTACCTTCGAGTTTACAATTATAGCTGATGACGACATTCGATAGCTTCCAACGTTTCTCGACACTTTTCTTCTTTTTTCTTGTAAACGTTTCTAAAAATCAAACAAGAGATCACTGTGAAAGTCTTCCCATTCGGGCAAGCGCGATTAGATCTGATTAAAAAATCGATTAAAATCAAAGAAAAATGAGAAAAAACGTCGTTGATTCTCGCGAAAGTGGGACGCATCGTTGCGCTAGAATTAACACACGCTTTCATTTCTCCAACTCTAATCTTTGGTTCCTCTTGGTTAATCACGGAAATGCGACAAATCTTCTTACACTTCTTCGAATCGTAAGATTTCTTGGATCTTCGATCAATTACCAAATGACGTTTGGTTTTTTGTCGAACCTATATAAACTCGCTAATCGGTCGTTTACATTAAATCTACCCATTAAAGTAATTACGTTGGAATCTACAGGTCTTGTTGGGGCGTGCAGCAGGTGGGAGAGAAACACGGCAAAAGGAAGATCATCGGTGGTACCGATCGAAACTGATTTCCATGGAGAGAGAGGGAGAGAGAGAGAGAAAAGGAGAGGGAAGGGTCGAACGTGACTTCGTATAGGAAAAGGGGGGTGTCCCGTTAGCAAGCTGTCCAACAACGCCGTAGAGACCGAAAACTATCGGGAATCATCTTGAGACGAACTCGTTTAACCGAGCTCGCTTATTCGACGAAGCAAAACCACGCTGCGGCTTTCTCAACGACAGTTTCAAGAGATTATCCTTACGCGAATCCATCCACTCTCCTCCTGACTTTTATATACACCGTGTCGTACAATCATTCCAATACTTTTTTCCCTGCAACGTGACATACTTTTAAACAAACGAATAATATCTATCTCATGGAATTTGAGGATATTTCGGGATAGATGCATCCACTGTTCCAATATCTATCCTTTGATCGAATATTTATAGAATATCGATATTATCGTTAACTCTTTTCGAAAGCAAAAAGGAGATTTCCGGGGATTAATACAGATATCGTTCGCGTTCTCCAATTTATTCATCATTCACGTTAATATCATCCGTCATGTAGGGATCGTTCGATTATTATCTTTTCCGAGTTTAATCTATAAAGATAAAAAAATATAAAAAGACAACTAGAGTCTCATATTTTAACGTGGTATCCTATTTTTAGGACATCCTATAGATGAAATTATAGTTGTTGTCTCTGTTCTAACACCTGTCTTCTCATTCCGCATCTTGTCGTGCAGCTGTCGTCAGTTTGTTCGTCTTCTAACGTCGGCACGTTAATACCCACCTCTTTAACGAAACTTTGGAATCTCATTGTCAGTGTCGAAAACCATGGGAGACAGAGAGAGAGAGAGAGAGAGAGAGAGAGAGAGAGATAAATGAATGGAACGATCACAGCCATGGCCAAAGCGTACGAACGCGAATACATATGCCAATGTCATTAAAGCGTTACACCTAATTGCTCCATTACAGTATCCGTTTAATGCCAACTTGGAACCGCAATACCGTTCGGTCCAATTTCGATCCGATTTTGAATGCATTTTTCAGAGCAACCTAGTCAAATCCAGTTTAAATGCAATAAAATGCAAGAAAATCTAAATGCTCTTTTTCTTACGATTACATGAAATTGTAATAATAATTAAAGAAATTGACCAGCTTGACTGGGTATAAACCGTAAACGTAATCCTCCACCATAATAGTATCTAAATGCGAAATCATTTGATATTCCGGTTATATTGGATCTCTCGTATCAAGGCAAAGCCATATTATCGTGAGAATATATCAGAGATAGGAATTTCGTGATCTTGCAAGTGTAAATACGTAGATAATTGCTTGATCAATGCAAGCAGAAATAATAATAATAATAATAATAATAATAATAGTAATAATAATGATAGTAATAAGAATGAGAAAATGATTTCGAAGGAATACGAGAAGAAGATTGTAAATGAAAAGAAAATTGTTTTTAGTCGTGTTGCAACCCTATTCAACGTCTTAACCTCTCGCACATTCCTTAACAAAGCTTTTTGATTATTACCTCTCTCTCTCTCTCTTATTGATCTTCGAGAAATCTTCGCAAGGCAAAGACTCGCGAGAACAAAGAGCGGCTACGCTAGAAAGAAGAAGTTAATTGCAGACGCCGTTCTTCGGATTCTTTTTTTTTTTCTTTCCTCCACCTCCTCCTTCTCCKCCTCCTCCTCCCCCCGCCCCTACCACCGGTAACGTAAAAAAAGAGAGAGAGAAAGAGTTAGGGAAGAACAACGGAAAAAGGCTGAAAAAAAGTACGCGCGTGTGCGTAACTCGTGTGCGTTTACTTACACACGCTTATAATACGTGTCTGTGTGTGTAAAATCACGGCGTTCTGCCCCTGAAAGAACTTTAATCAAAACTACAAGAGAGAGAGGAGACCTACTTTCTCACTCGTTCATCCACGCTTCAGAGTTATATCTATCCTCTCTGTTTCTCTTTTGGTTGCTACTGCGCGTAGTCGGAGAAGAATCTAGGCAGAATGGCTCGTGCCTGGCAACGATGCTACATTGTCTATGCCACTTTATTGTCGCGACCGTTAGAAGACCATCCTTCTCTTCGTTATTGTTGTCTTCGTCGTCGTCGCTATAGTCTTTTTTAAAGTTTGATTTAAACAACGCGGGGTTCGTCTTTACCCTCTCCCTTGCTAGCCATTTTTTCGCAAAACTTTACGAACAAAATGGACCCTTCTTCTCGCATTATTGATTATGCACTTTCTTATGCACTTCCTTTGGAATCTATTGCTAAATAACAACTATATGATCACCGGTAAAACGTTGTAATTCGTTCGTTGTACGATTGTAGAGGCATTTGGTGAAACCGGATAGCCAAGTGCTAGACTAGAATCGCTTAGAAATGGACGAGAATATTGTCGGCTCGTTAGGAATTCGATCGTTCGATTCCAAGAAGAGAATACTCGCGGAAGCTAAATAATCTGCGTTATTCCGAATGGTCCATCTAATATAACGTAAACTGTGGGATGTTTCGATCGGCAGGGGAGAGAGAGAGAGAGAGAGAGAGTATCGTTTTGTTTTATTTTCTTTCAAGTAGGATTCGATCGCAACGACGATGCACATTTCTCGTTCTTCCATTCTATTAATTACTCTCGGAATCAGGAATACCCAAGTTTTAATGAATACTTTAACACGTCACTCTCTCTCTCTCTGTGTCACGAGTATCTTCGATACCGAACAACCCCCTGTCCATCCACTTTACTCTAGAACGTTGATTCTAAGCACCGAGTGGGTCTAATTAAAAATCGTCATTCTCGCAACCTGCCTGTTAAACAGAAGCATCATAGGAGTTACCAATTATATTCTTTAGAAAATCGATACTTGCGCAAAGTGAGCAACCTGTGTAAACCTCGAAAGCGAATTATAGGAGAGAAGAAAAAAAGAGGAATGAGAATGAATCTTATTGTCCTAAAACAGGTGGATCATTTACTCATCCCTCACTTCTTTTTCACCTATAAAATAATGAAACCCTAATAGAAAATTGTCATCGTATTCGTTGGTCTTCTCCTTGTTCTATTCGTGAAATATAATGTCGATAATATACCACCGAGCTTGTGGAATTTATCCAGGATAATATTATAATGATATTTTGTATGGATAAGTTTGAAAGTAGAAATATAATACTATGTGTATATCGGACGGATGGGGATCCCTTTTATCCAGGTTTATTCTTTACCAAGCATTGTTTAATAAAAAGTCTACGGTATTCGAGATATTCTCGAGGTTAAATTTTCGCGAGGTACGCGAACAAAGTTCTTACAAGTTTCTCTCTCGTCTCGGGTAGGTACTCGGGCATTCGTCGTTAAGATATATTCCAGATATTCTGCATACTCTTATATACTACTTCTATAGACATGCATGCACTATACACGGACTTCTACACACGCTTTACGACCTACGTATCTATGTCAAGTGAAGCTTTCGATAACAGCTCTCTACCGCTTTATTTTACGCACTACAAGCGTGAAAGCACCTCGGAAACTTGTACGTTCGCGAATAAAGAGAAAGAAAGTATTTCAAGAAAAAAAGCAAAGAAAAAATCTTGCCAGCCATTACATCTTTTTTCCTTTTTCTTTCCACGAAAATCATATGCTACTGTATCACGTTTCTTTTTTCGAATCTGAAAGATTTCATCAATGTCTATAAAAGATGATTGGAAAAAGTATTCGATTACATAGAACGCGTATTCCGAATAAAAAAGGAAAAATGATAATGAACGTTAATAAGACGACACTGATAAAGTGCCAAAGTGCCTTCACGTTTTACGTTAGAGTTTCCGATCGGTACGAAAGCCGAAGCTTTCTCCGAGAGCTTTTATAAGAGGCTTCCGAATTGGAAATATCGAGGAAACGACAAGGCATTTAAGAGACGTCACTCACCAGTTCTCTACGACGCCGACGTTCGTGAAATTTGGTGGGAAGCTCGCGGCCGCCATAGGTGGTCGCGACCAATTACTTTCCTTTCTTCTCGAGGACACCGACGTTCTCTAAGAGTAAAACAAGATCATAGATGAAAACACACTGAGGCTTTTTTATTACCCAACCGTATATCTATATTTCATTTTAATTGGAAATAAAACTATACTATTACCTACTATATCTAATTACAAGTTTTCAAAGTTGAATTCATCTGTACCGTATTTAAATTCGTTTCTTAGAGTTACAAAGTTCTATCACCGAGCAAACAAGATGATCAATTTTAAGAAAGTCTGGGCAAATAGTTAAGTAAGACATACCCACTGTTATAAAGGAAAACTCAACTGAATTTCTTGTTCTAGAGAAATTTCTATTATATCGGAAAGAAACAAAAGGTTAGAAACTTGAAATTAACCGCACACGTAAACCGACTTTTGCCTCTTAATTCTCAAAGACTCGACGTTGAAGTCTTCGCGTTTGAAGACGTTTATAGGCTCGGTTATTCAAATCTTTCAATGATAACGAAAGAACGTGAGAAGGGTTGACGCTATAGTTGCTAAATCCTTGATATCTTCAACGAAATATTCTGGGAAAGAAAAGTCAATGATTATCTTAAAATTAATACACATTATTCTTGGAAAAAGGACAGGAATAAAGTAATCTTAACAAAATTTCTTACGCAATATCTATGCAACAATTTTTTCTGCAAAACGTAATTTCAAAGTTATTTAAAACGTGGTCGCACGTGCACACACACATACACACACCAAGACAATCTGAGCTAGCTATATCTAACCCGTATCTATCTCTCTTTGGTATACCTTTCTCGCATTATTATCTTTCTGCTTTCGGGTAGCACTTCGTCCCTTAGGCAGTCGGTATCGGTAATGAACGATCTATTGTGCCGTTAGGATGCTCTTTGAAGAGGTGGGGTAAAGGGGAGGGGAGACGACGGAAAGGAGAAACGGAAAATAAGAGAGATGGGTGCTGAACGAACGAGAGATGGTCGCGAAGGGCTACGGAAAGAGTACAGAAAGAGTATAGAAGAGGTATGAAAACGGTACTCGTTAATGGACTCCCACCAGACACTTTTACCCTCTTCGTCCTCCCTCCCACTCTTTCTCTCTAACTCCCACTTCTTTCGAGGCAGCTTTTAACAAGCCCCAAGCGTACAGAGAGAGAGAGAGAGAGAGAGAGAGAGAAAAATAAAGAGAGAGAGAGAGAGAGAGAGTGAGGTGGATTTGTTACACGTGTAAGCTCGTCTCGGTACATATCGTGCCGTTGTGCATCATTATCGTGCCCCAGCGCGTCTTTTTAGCGGCTATGTAGATAAAAAGAGAGAGAAATGGTTCAAGCCTAGACAAATATATATAGCGGGTTCTAATAGCAACGTTAGGTAGGATCGTTTTCATTAGGACGCTTAAACGTGACGTTGGAAATTGGTAGATTACTTTTTTTTTCTTTCTTTCTTTTTTCCTATCGCGATTTAGATCATCGGACAGGATAATGAGAAAATACGAGAAGGCTCTCTTCATCGTTGTACGCTATCAACCGTGGTCTATCCCCCAGGATTTTCAGTCATGTTTTGTTCTTGAAAAAATAAAAGAACAAAAGTATTCGATCGAGGCAACCCGTTAATCGTCCAACCAACCTCTCTTTCTCTATTTCTATCTCTATTCCCGCATGATTAATCATTTTTCATATATTCGTTTCTTTTGATTTAGCTTTTATCTCGCAAAACTTTTGTCTCATCGGTTGTTTAAATATTTGATCGACGATCATGTATGTGATAATCCAAGTCCGTTCGGAGATTCGCATAGTTATTTATGTATGTTGTACTACGTGCAAGAGAGAATAATAGGAAGGATGGGGAACTAGTTTGGTCCTCTTTGGCAAACTTTGGGCCCGAACTTTCCTAACTAACTGACGAGAAACCGAATGAGATGTATTCGCTAGGAGAAGGAGGACGAATACACTCGAACCTGGCTAATTAACATCAGCACAGAGAGAGAAAGAGAGAGAGAGAGAGAGAGAGAGAGAGAGCAAGAGAGAGAAAACGAAATCGATAGTCCCGCACCACTGGCTCGGCCAACGAATCGTTGTCGCACGAGCGCATGCACGTCGTTAAAAAAATCGAGGACTCGAAGCCCGCATATTTGGGTTAATTGAGGATAATCCATCTTTTCCAAGACTATCCATTTACCGGGCTCTTCATAAACCGACGTTATTTTCACGTGCACAATACCTATCTTTCTCTTTCTTTAAATCATTTTCTATGACAAGAAAGGGAGAGGTAAAAAGGCACACGATCCGTTCAACCTAATTTCGTTAGCAAAGACTTCGTTCGTTTCAAGAAATTCTATATTTTTATCTTTTATCTTTCTGTCTTTCTCGCTCTTTCCAAAACTATACATGGAATTGTGTGAGAGTTTCCAAGTTTCTAACTGTTAAGGGAGAGAGAGAAGATGCACGGTAATGCCATTTGCAGTTCTCCCGTTCCGTATCATTTCTGGCCACGAGCAGAGATACCATCCCCGTTGTGTAGCATCGTCCTCGAGTACCGGCAAGTCTAGATAATAATATAATAGTAGGAACGTATTCGAATAATGTGCATTCGCTAACGTGTCTCTCCTCACTCTACCTGTGTGTGCATGCATATATACATATCTTTCGAGCATTGTAATTGATTAGAAGAGACACCCCCCCCCCGCCCTCCACGTAAGTATTATATTTGTACACGCGTATGAATGAATAGAAAATATAATCATTGACGTCCGCTAGATTCGTAGAGAATCTTACAAAACACGTAGATCTAGGATAGAAATAAATAATATGTTATAATGTACAAGTTGGCATGTAAATTTTGCGGTAACGTTGGAGTGTCGTCTCCTCCTCCTCTTCCTACTCCTTCGCCCGACCAAAATTTTTCCTTTGATTTTTATTTCTTCGTCGTCATATTAAATGGGGTTGCGCAGGCGCCAGGGTTACTGTTTAATCCCCCATTCCTCCCCACCAGGTTTCTTTTGGTAACCTTCCAAGCCGACTTCCGGCCGCTTGGCCGAGATTCAACGCGTTAAACTACGTCCACGTCGAAAATTTAACGTTCGGACGCGAGACCATCCGTATTAGAAAAAGATAGAGCTTTTACTCCTTTTTAGTAGCGTCAAACTAATACCAGCGATACCTGCATAATCGTTACGTAACGAGATAAGACAGAGGCCAAATTTTTTTTTTACATTTTTATTATACCTACATCGATCAACGACTCTAAAACGCTAATTACTGATTCATTCAACTGTAGAAACTAAAACCGCAATAAAAAAGGAAAAACGTCCAGCTATTATCAGTCGATTGGTGGCTATTGGTCGTTTTGAATTTGATGAAAAAGAAAGGGGGATGATACTGGAATCTTGATGGGATAACAACCTAATCCATCACCGTTTATCCTTTGAATGAAGATTTCGAGATGACGATGCGATATGGGAAAATAGAAGTTTAGTGTCGTTTGGTGACTTTAAAATCGTTCCGTTTAAAAGAAATAAAAAAAATACAAGAGGTAAGGGGTGCAAGGAAATCAATGGCGAAAAGTAGAAGGATGTTGGAACACTTTTGCTAGCGGTGCTCGGTTTACGGTTCGCGTGCGACGCCACTTCGAATCTAGGTTGCACGTCCTCGAGTGGTCCACGTTAGTTCTCCATTTTTTCTCCTTCCATTCGAAGGGATTCGCGTCCTTAACTTACGCTTTCTTTCCTTCTCTTTTCTCCTTTTCTTCTTTTTTTTTTTTTTTTAATTACTTAACCCTTGAACTTTTCACATCGAACGCGCGTTCGATATACTTTTGTCGTGTTCTTATTATATTACTTCTGTAGATTCCTAGAGATTGTTTTTATAAGATAGGTGATCTAGAAAGTTGGGCTCATTTATCTTCGTTGGATAAAATCTGTTATCTTGTAAGAAGATTTACTCAACTAGTTTTTTTGAAATGAAACGTGAAAAAAAAAACAACAAAAAAAAGAGTGCGTTTAGACTTGGAATGAATTTTCCCGAGAGGAAATACTTTAATCGGGTTATCCATAATGTCTAATCTTTGATTATTCCAATACCAGTTTCGCTTTCTCTTTATCTAGCGTGATTGTAAGTGGGAAGTTGTAAATCCGGTATTGGCCATTTCTCAACGAGTTTCTATAGATGCAAATAAGAAACGGAACGAATGCGCGATTAAATAAAAGGAAAGAAAATAAATTCTTTTTATTAAACGTCGATGAACGACAATGAGAATATTACGAAAGAAACACGTGGGCGGTCATGGTCCGTGTACCGCAAATTTCTATCTCTACTCTCTCTCCAACATCTCGTGTTCTTGTTGCAGGAAGAACGATCGAGTCAGAAAGCTTAATGGATTTCCCAGGCTTGTCCCTTCGCTTCTACTTTTGTCTCCTGAAATTGTATTAGCTCCTTCTTCTGACCCTACCCTTCCTTCCTTCCTTCCTTCCTTCCTTCCATCCTTCCTTTCTCCCTGATCATCGAATTTACAAACTTAATCGAGTGAATGAGAATGTACAAAAAAGAAAACTAAACCGAAATATTCCTTTAATGTAAAACCTGTTAAAATCCATATGTAAATAACGTGATAATATGTATGACTTACACCGTAAGATAATCATCGGTGTAGTAGCAGTGGTTAGCATAATTAAAAGTCGATCGATTTTACGCAAGACGACCTAGGTGAAGAGAATTGAATCATCGTTGGCGGATCTCTCACCACGGGAGATTTGAAGGGCTCGGTAGTACGGGAGCTTTGAAGAAGAAGAGGGTAAGAAGGAAACGAGATGGGAAATCAGATGTCGATTAGCGCCTTTCTTCGCCGACTACCGACACTTCCTCCTCCAACTTCCTTCTCTTCTCTTACTCTTCAAGTCCAACGGTGTCTGACATTTTCCTCAATATAGTCTCGTCGTCAACTATTCAAATACTCAAACAAATTCATCGATAATTCTTAATTGTGGCTTGCAATTGTGGCTACCCAAGTATTTTCTATTCTCTTTGCTTTTATCTTGCAAGTTTGTACGTCTTTCTGTTTCTCAATCAACATTAATCTTTCTTGAAATAAGACATTAAGATTTACGAGCTTTGTGGAAGATTCATTCCATTTGTTTCTTTTGGTTTGAAATTGTGACGATGACGGTAGCCAATTAAGAAGCAAATATAGACGACGAGGTATAAATAAAGAAAAGAAATAAATGTTAATTTAGAAATAATAAGTCGAGGATCAATTGAAACATCTTTCTATAATCTTTATCGACTAGGTTCGTAAATAAATAGTCAAAGAAATTGTCGGCGTTCGGTCTTGTTCTAATAACGGGGGAAGCCTTTTAGAAGAGAAGGTATCTCGTAAATAGGAAGTTTGCCTTTTAGGGCTCAGTAATATTTACTCGGTTCCATCGTGGGCTCTAAGGATAGGAAAGACATAGCTCTCGTTGGGTATCGGCGTAAACTAGGTAACAGAATGTCGAGATGTGGCTGTAATTTACGCTACGTAGCAAACTGATTAATGATCGGAACGGTTGCCTTTCTCTTATCTTCTGAAAAATGATTAGATTGGAATATTTTTCCATGATAAATTTCCTTTTTTTAATTAAAATATCTAAGGTAAGGTAAGGTGTTGGTTGAGGGTGTCGCGTGGATGCCGAGTGCACCACCCCATCGACTTATCGTTGTCTCTTCGACAAAGTAGACCAAACTCGACGGGAGCCGATATTTTTCAAACTTTTCACTTAAACCGTCTGCAACACGAGCTTCTACCAGAGTCAAAGTTCTCGAGCGAGTGCTTGCATTATCCAGCTTAGACTTCCAGCTCCGTGAATTTTCTACACTTTTTAGAAAGATCAAAATGGTTTCTACCTATTGTAAACTATCCGGAGGAGCTTCCTTTCCTCCCCGACGTCATTTCAAATATCCACGTATTTCTCTATTTCTAATTCGATCGATGAAACGCGATAGGCGCACACGCCGTTCAAACGTTTCATTTCGCGAAGCGAGGCTATTCGAGGCATTGAATTCTCTACAAATCGTCGAAGCACGAAATATATCTATATCTATATATATAAATATATATGTGTATGTGTTTTTAGTTGGATGTTATACATATGCTTGATATCGGATCGAACATTTTACCGCAAACATACCGCAACGAATCATTAGAGAAGTTTCTATGCAAACGGAAGAACCGATGTAAAAGAAAGAGAAAGATAGTCTCAAACGTACTCGGACCAAGCCAAATTCGTCCTCGGCGGGTAGTTTGAATCAGGGCCAAACGACTAATCCCATGAATACCCAGCAGCAGTAGCAGCAGCAGCAGCAGCAGCAGGTCTCTCTAACTGGAAACGTCGCGAACGCTTCTTACTCTTAATGACAGTATTTAAAAGCACACCAGGTGCACACACTTGATATTATTTTTTTTCGCGAAGAATGGGATGCAAACCTTCCAAGAGAGAATCGATATAACGATGCAGCAATTTGATATTTCGCCTGACATTTTCTTTTCTCATTACCTTCTCGAAAAAACCAAGGCGCACCGTTGTCGTCGTCGTCGTCGTCGGCTTTGTTTTCCTCCAAAGAAATTCTTCGAAAATTATTCCGTGAGAATGCTAGGACGTATACGGTAGATATGCATGTATGTAGAAGGCAAGGAACTTGCAATTAGAGCGTGGGTAATTACTTCGCAATTACGAAATTACGTTTTTGTTCTATCCTGCCGGAAGTGGTAATCGCAGGACGATAATCTTTCTACAACTATCATGGTGAACACCACCGCGCGATACGTTTCATCGGTGTACTTGCGTGATTTTAGCCATATCCCAATTATATCTTTTTTATTGTCACCCGAGGTTGCGCCCGAGGAAATTCACTTTTCCATTAAACGCGAACATTTCTTTTCACGATTACTCCGTTTCATTCGCGTCCTCGCTTTACGGATTTCCTTTGGACCGGTGGACTGTTAGGATTTTCTCTAAGCCCCGTTCTCCGTGTTTAAGCACGGAAAAGTAGAATAAAAGAGTGCTTCGTGATACCATCCCCTATGCGTGTGTGTCGCCGCAACACGACGGAAACTCCTATGACCCGACGACCAAATTATCTTTCTTTTCTACTCGTGTGTCTGTCTTTCTGCAACATCCACGAGCCCGTTGAGAAAAATACATCCAGTCTGAAAGTTAATCTGTACTGATTGCGCAAAACGGAACACGGAAAAAGAACGAGCAAGAAAGATAATAAAAATAATATGCAGGTAATATAGAATGAATGTTTGTAAACGTATTTGAACAGTAACGTTATCGAAACTTCAAATCGTTGCAATGCTTTCATAGACTAAAACACGCGTTTATTTGTACAAAAAACAAATCCAAAAAGAACCGATAAGATTGGTTTATTCATAAATTTCATTCGATTGCCGTTATAAAAGAGCAGTCGTTGATAAATATCCTTTTGTTTGTCATTCTTTGCCAACTGGTTTGTCCAAACGAAAAAAAAGCAGATAAAGTAGAGATGTTAGATGACGTTGAAACGGACAGTCGCGAATTTAGGCTCTGCTAAAGAATGGCGCGAATTTGACCGTTCGAAACGAAGAACGCGTTAGCTCTTAAGAGACTTTTAGGGATTAAGGAAAATCGACCAACCGAAATCCGAATAGCTCGAGAAGAAAGGGTGAAGGTGGTGGTATCCAGGGAAGGTGGTTGATGTCCTGTCGCATGGGAGGTAAACATCGTTTGCTTTTTTCCCTTTAACCAAGGTGGATCAAAGGACACGTTAGAAAGAAGAGAGAGAACGCATAAGTCGTTGCCCTACTATCGACGTTCCGTGGAGAGTCGTTTTAGCTGGGAGAGAGAGGAAAAAGGAAAGAAAAAAAAATGATGATGGAAAAGATGGAGGAGGGAAGAAGGGGGAGCGAGTACGCGGCGCGCGAGAAGAGTGCGAGAGCTAGAAGGAACACTCTCTTTTTCCTTTTACCTTTCTTTTTGCCAGGCTATGACGAAAAAACTGTGTCGCCCATTGTCGACCGGTACACAGCGCGGAACAATCGCGATAATGAGAAAGCTACGCAGTCGAAGAGTTCCTTTTTTCTCTCTTCTTTTTCTACTTCGTTCTATCTGTTCTCTTCTCTTCTCTTCGCTTCTCTTCTCTTCTCTTCAATCCTTTTTCTTTCTTTCTTACTCTTTGTGATCATCGACGAAACCTCCGAGACCTTTCCACTAATTGTTTCGCGGATCTCGATCGATCCGACATTTTCGAATACTTGTATCCAATCTTCCCGATGGAAGAAACTACTCCAAAGTTTGTCGTGGTCCTTATCATGAAAGATCGATCAAGATCCAAATGTTTTCCAACTTAAATTAGTATGTTTCGTTAAGCGTGGCAATAAGTCAATCACGGATATCGATCGATCGAACTCGTTTCGAGACGCGTGCATAAGTAGCAAGTAGGTACTTTTCCTAGCGACGTCAAACGCAACATTGAAAGACGTCACTCGATGCCAATATTACTGTGTACCATCGCATCTATTCCTATCGTTGTTACGTCCTTATTACATAAGGGAAAATCGAGCCCTTATATCTAGTTATACTATATCGCTATCGCGTTCTTAGGACGAACAACGTAGTCAAATAATAAATTAATCAATTGACTAGAAAATATCTACATAAGAGATGTACAAGAATTATTACGAATGTCTTTGAGAAAGAGTCTTCTTGAATGCTCTGCGTGTGATTCGTTTCGATTTAATAATCGATGTCGCGTTCCGAGTTTGACTTTACTCTCGCAATGTCAAGCATCGTGAAACATAAAGAGGGAGAGAGATGACACACACCGTTTAACGCCTTATTTGCTCAAATTACACACACAAAGGAAGGAGATTCTTAACGAAGATGTGTGCTCGTACTCTCGCGCTCGTATGTGTGGCTAAGCGTGCTGCGTGTCCCTATGAAAAATAGAGGAGACGAATTGATGAAGCAGCACAAAGCAAAAGCAGTAGCCGCCGGCAGGAACGTTTGGATAGGTTCCACGAAAGGCCGATTTACAGGGATCTCTCTCGTGGACTTTGCCAGCAGGGCTCTCGTCGAGCCTTGCCTCGGGAATCGATTGGCTGCCGTTCGTTCGGCCGGACGTTCCGCCATCGCTCCACGAATCAGAATTCCTTTCGTTTGCAAGCCTCTTAAGAAAATACCTAACGTGCATCCGTCCACGCCTACTTTTCTTCCAAGTTTATTGATTACATTTTCGCACCTTTATTTTTTAATCTTTTTACATATCGTCGTTCAAATGATTATACACCAGAGCAATTGGGCAAATACCATTTTTGCCTTTAATCTATTTTCGTTATCACCAATACTATCGCAAACGTAGTAGAGCAGCGTTGAATAGAAGCATAAGACTTACTTAGTCTAGAAATAATAAAAAGATCGACTTCTGGCACACACAACCGAGTTGTGAACGTAGCAAATCCTTCGAAGACCAAAATACTGCTATTTGAGAAGGCATTTCTTCCCAAGTGCCAACGCATGCGATCTTTCAACCGTCTCTCAACGATTACTGCCTTTCTTATTTTGTTTTTTTATTTTTATTAGATTTGACTTAACTCTTTGGGAATATTCTTTATAAAAATGTAAACGATCGTCAGTGATTCTGACATTTCTTACTCGCGCGATGAACAAATTTCGGAGGATAGAGAGAGGGAGGGAGAAGTTGTGCAGATGAATCGAAATAAGATCGGGGGATGTGCGGAAAAAAATTGAAAAAGCTAGAGAAAGAGAAAGAGAAGATGCTTTGGACGTAGAGTCGTCTGCGAGACGACAAGAGGCGAACTCGCTTGATGTTACGGATTTAGCCAACATCTGGTCCGGTCCATTCCGTAGCTTCGGTCTACGAAGCACCGATTGAATTCGAAATAACTATCTTTGGCCTCTTCTTGCTGTGAACCGTGTGTTCCTTTGAAAGGTGCCTAACCAAATGACAAAGAATCTAAGCAAGTTAAACGTGCTAAAGGAGGTCCGATTCCGACTAGGACAAATGATTGCGTGCGTGTGCGTTTCCTTCGACAATGAAATAATAATCGTCCGTTATTTTCCACGATAAAAGAGAAATACTTTGTTGCTTGTTGTACGTTGTACATACGTGAAGGTGTGACGATAACTACAGCTAGGTGGTCGTTGACGTTCCACGTTGAATCCACGATGTACGTAGCATGGACGCAAGCCTGAGAGACGATCGTGCTGCCAGCAGAATTACGACTCCACCCGCGTACACGCTGCATACCATTCTCGATCTTCGGCAAGGTCGTTGTTAACTGCGGCTCTCTCTGCCTCCCTACGAGATACATCACATACTTTTTATCCCTCTTTTTCTTTTTATGAACCTAACGACCAACGTCTTAGAGTCGTTGTGTCGTTTGCATCGAAAGAAACAACTCCAACGATTGCAATGTTTATCTGTCGCGATAAGTAAAAACGAATACTTCAATACATTCCTCATAAGCGATAAAATGATGAAAGCAACAAATAACGGTAAACGATTCGTTTCTTATATAAATAAAAAAGTTGCAAATATCCTTTATTATCCGTATACGCACGCGTATCTTCAATCCGACGGGTTTTGCGAAAGCGTTTATTTAATTTTGGTCTTTAAAGAATTTCAATGAATTGCGCAAGGCAGCAACTCCAGCGGTGCAAGGAGTCGATACACTAGCTCTCACAGCGATGTCAACACAAACACTAGAAGAATAACGTCAAGAAGAACGCGCTTTTCAAGAGGAAACTAATAATAGGGTAGAGCGAGAGAGAGAGAGAGAGAGAGAGAGAAAGAGATAGTAAATATCTGGAAGCAAAGTACGGGAGAGCGCATTTCCCACGTTCTACCCTTCGACGTTATCGATCTCGGCATATGCGCCCCGACGATGCTCTCTTCAATTTCCACCGGCACTAAACCGAAAGACAAAACGATCTGCCGAAAATTTCAAGTCCGTGTCGTCTTGTTCTTCCTCTTCTTCTCGATCGAATGGAATCGTACAAAGAGTTCGCACCAATTAAGATCAACCGAATTGATCAATTCGATTGCGACTCTAACGCGCCGCTTCTATGTGCGTGCGTCCCTGCATGCGTGCGTGTTTTGTTTCTACGCGCGAACCAACGGAAGGTCCCGTGTCAAACGGAATCATTGCTTTCCATCCTATATCTATGTAAGATCCTATACAGAATTAAACTAGGCGTCGCTAATAGAAACGATTAATCCTTATAAAACGTTCTATACATACATTTACAGATATATAATCGATTACTAGTTGTAGCTAACTTTCTAAACGATTAGAAAAGTTCCGACGGGCAGACGCGTTCTGTTGTTCGTTAGCGACGCGCTTAAAAAAAAAAAGGAGATCCATGGAAATCTGATCACCTCATGACGAAACTTTCCTCGGTGTTATTCAGGAAAAGCACCTTTCTTCGAAACTCTCTATCTCCGTTTACTCTGACAGCTCGAGCATTGAGGTATCGAAGCGAGCGAAGGCGTGCTGACGTCGCCGATCAAATTCCAGACACACACCGAGAGACAGATAGACAGAGAGAGAGAAGGGGTAAGGGGGAAAGAGAGAGAAAAAGAAATGGATAGACAGTTTGCGCGGGCGCGCAACACACAAGAAGGATACACAGAACACACGTTCACAAAAAGAAAAAAAACAATAGAGAGAGAGAGAGAGAGAGAGAGAGAGAGAGAGAGAGAGAGAGAGAGAGAGAGTAAAAAAGAATCAAACGAAGGAAAGAGAAAAGACCTCCGTCCGGCGTGGCTTTCTTGCGAGTTTTGCGCCTTTTTTTTTATTTACTTCAATATTTCTATACATACGTATGTATACGTAAAAAGTAGGAATAGAGAAAGAGAGGGGGGGAGTTATATTAGATATATATTTAAGCAAAAGGCACACGTATACGCGGCACGATGTTCGGCTTGCGACTGAGCTTTGATTATCCTCGAGCGCGAGGGTGTCCCGCGCGGAAAAGAGAGCTCTACCCCCACCGAGTCGGCTCGACTCGTCCTCGCTCGCCAACGTTCGTAGCCACATGGCGAGGGGTTGCAAACTCACACACAGCTCTACACATATACAGCTCTACACGGTGATCGAGCGAGCTTTTCTTCGGCCTATCCAAAATTCACGATTCGCAACATCCATCGCTTCTACTTTTCATTTTGTCGACATAACCTAACGTATCTGCGAAATAAAACAATGCGCATCGGTAGCATAAATTTGTCACTGTTCTAAAATACGTCAAATATTAACGCGAACACCCTGTACATGTCCGTGTGTAAATATACCTATGTGCGGTGCGATATAACGTTAACGTCGATGCGCGCGTGCGCACTCTTTCTCTTTCTCTCGTATTCTCTCTGTGTGGTAGCATCTACGTCGACGGTAGAACGGTCTCCACCGCAAAGTGGCAACCGGTGGCACCGGTGCAAACCTCGTCAAGCGCCGTCTCGGCCGTGTATTTACATAGACACGCGATGCACTACCACAATCGTCCCCTAATGCTAATCGCACGATACCCTCGACTCTTTGTATCAAAGGTGCACGATGCATACGTAATATATATTATGTGAACTTGTCACAGAGTCATGCGTGACGCAAGCAGAAACGTTGACTACGGTATCAAATCGAATGATATATTCTACTTTCCCATCACACTTTTAAGTTAAGAAATTGTACGACAATGGCAACAAAATTAGAAAATAAAATATGATAATTTTTATTTAATAGACTTCTCTTTTTCTTTTTGCCCCCTTTTATATTTTTTATGATCTTTAGGAAAGGATGTGCGCTGTTAAGTGCATCCAGTCATCGACGGCAGATAAGGTTTAAGAGTTTGATCGCTCGTGCACATGCGCGCGTGCGTGCTTTTAACCGCATCTCCGTCTCTCTTGCTCGCAGCAGCATCCAGTATACCGACGTTATTGGGTGGAAGCTCGATAACGCTTTGACGACGACTTCATCGTTGTGTCCGCCGATGCATCGTTGCACCGCGGCGGACCAAAGCAAAATCCATTTTCTCTCGTTTCAAAACAAACGACAGACAGAGATGATACAATGGTAACGCGATTATCCTAGAAAAGAAGAGGATTCAAAAAGAATAGCGGATCTCGATTTCCGTTGCAAACGATTTCGCGAAAAGGCCATATTCTTTTTACTTTAGAATCAAGCGAAATAGTATTTTCAAAGCGACACCTGCGAGAGATGCCATCAAGGCATCATCCTTGACTCGCTCTCGCGTCCCTAAGCGACGCTCGTTGTCTGCCCATTAGCGGACTACTGCCGTTCTTTTGTGCTTTTTGCACTTTTTCTCGCTTCTGGCTCGTTTTTACTCAACCACCGACGGCGGAAAGCTTCCCCATCATTTTTTGCTCCTTTCCGTCGACTACTTTTTACCTCTATCTATTCCGAATAATGATTCCACCCACGCGTGGGAGGAGTCCTCGGAAGAAATCCTGCGGCCCTTAGTCGCTTCCTACATTTTTTCGATCTTCGATCGATATTTTTTTTTCACTCACCCAAAGAATATAGATTTTTGCTAGACACCCACCAGTAGAAGTAGCACTTTCAGAGAAGAGAATGCAGGAGTGGGGAAAGTTGCAACTTACAAGAGAAGATACCCGAATACCGCATAGATCACGCATATTCTTAAGTTCGCGCGCGTACCGGCAATACCGTGACTCGGCCCGGCTACCCATTGTTGGCTTCGCTAATTTACGGGCCAATTAATTAGCGCCCCCGAAGCTCAGATATTCCAAACTCCCGCCCATACGGACGACCACGTTCCTATCCGCAAAAGGAGCTGCGGGATTCTCTCTATATCTATCTGGCATGCGCGACAGAAACAGAGATATGGTTATAGTTAAGTTCTACGTTTACCGATATCGATTGTTTCCTGTCGTAAATGCTTACAATCGCTAATCGTATGAAGCACACGGATACAGAGAGAAATAAGACCCGTTCAAATTCATGCTCGTTTCAGATTACAAAATCCGCAAACCTGGACACGAAAAACTTGACAATTGGCTGTACTTTTTTATGAATAAAGGGTAGCGGGTAGATTCTTGTTTTGCACTTTTTGCAAAGAAGTATCTACTTCAGGGATGCGACCCTGCCCACGCGAGCCTTGATTCTCTCCCACCTCCAATGATTGGGAGAAATCATGTCCTAACCCACGATCCTATCCACAAACAATAATATCCTACTCCAACCTTCCACACCAGTTTTTTTTTTTCTATAAATAAAATATTTATTATTCGGCCGAAATCCAACATTTCCCAACAACGACTGAAGGATTGGTCAATCTTCGTTCGACTGCATTCGCAATCGTTCGAAATGCTTGAAAATGACGAAAGGATATAACCTTAATCCGATTTCACGATACCCTCTCCTTTTTCGAAAGCCGCTTTCGCTATACTCGCAAAGAAAGAGTCAAGCGAAGTTTTATAAAAATTGAAAGAGGATAGAAGGATATGATAACGAAGAAAATCTTCCAAATCTACTTTGGATTTTCGTCTGGGAGTACGAAAAAATAAGGGAAATATAGAAAAAAAGGTGGGCGGTGTGTTTTTTGGAGCGAGTTTTAGACGTCGGGAAGAACGTCATACCTGGACGACAGACATTATGGATGACAATGTCATAGGCAGAGGGGCCAACAGGCTGGACAGGACAACGCAATGTCAGTGTCCAAGGGGTGCAGAGTGCAAGAGACAACGAATAATTCATCCCTTACTCTCCTCGCGAAATACACAATATACGCGTGTAACTGCATAACAAATATCTTCCTACGACTCATGTACCGTTGTGTTTCGTGTTCGTCCGAATAAAATAAAGCACAATGATTATATACGCAAACCAACGACCTAACTTCATTATGCAAAGTTTCGCGAATTCATTGAATTTCATAACATTGATCGAATTTGTTCATTTAAATTACATACGTAAGAAAACTAAATACAAGCGAATATCGGAGAACATTAATTAGCATCAATGGAGTTATATTTTGAAAAGATTTACAATCTTCCTACTTACACCTTTTGCCAGAGAGTGAACACGTTTGATGAACATTTCAATGAGAAAAGTTTTAATCGCGTTAAAGTTGAACGGATTAAGAAGTGACTCTCTTTCTCTCTTGATTACGAATACGCAAATAGCCTGGCGTGTATATTAGCCCGTGCCAGTAAAATTTCGTAATATTTGTCTCGAAGTTATGGCATATTAAATCGTCGATATGGCAGCATCAAGAGAGAAAGACGGAATGGGCTTTTCCATAAAAGCAGAAGCAGAAGCAGAGAAGCTCGGTAAAAGGATAGGTAAATGCAAGAGAACCGTCGACCACCGGTGGGTATATTAATCCGTAATGGCGAAACGATTAGTCAAGCTTGCCTGCAGACCCCACACAGTGCTGACAGTCGCACGCGCGACCTGCACATGATTAATAATCATCGTTCGGCCAACGTTATCGGCGTTAACGTTATCGCTATCTCCGTGTTCACTCTTGGTCGCCCTTCTTCTTACCCTCACTTATTGTCCATTGTTAGTTGCTATTTGGGATGAGGTCGGAATGAGGTAGGGATGAATGTGCCAGGGTATATAAAACGAAACTCGTCTTCTTCGAACAACCAAGTTTTACCATTGGGTAATACGAAAACAGGTGGAAGATGGAAGAGATACTAGACTCGAGAGAGGATATTTTGCGGCTGGTACGATCAAATCCTAGGGTAAACCAAGGGAATCCGGCCTGGCTGGCTTTATCCTCGCACGCTGCGGTCTCCTACTAATGCTGCAATAAACATGCATCTACGTGAAAACACGGCCAGACATAAACTTCGCGAAACTTTCTCTCTCTCTCTCTTTCTCTCTCTCTCTCTCTCTCTCTCTCTCTCTCTCTCTCTTCYWCTTWYTYRYA